GGATTACTGTTAATTTATTATGCTGATCTGTTCTGTACGACATCTATTGCACGTCTGTCCGTCCTGGAAGAGGGATCCCTCCTCAGTTGCTCTTCCTGAGGTTTCTACCGTTTTTTCCCCGTTAAAGGGTTTTTTTGGGGAGTTTTTCCTGATCAGCTGTGAGGGTCATAAGGACAGAGGGATGTCGTATGCTGTAAAGCCCTGTGAGGCAAATTGTGATTTGTGATATTGGGCTTTATAAATAAAGATGATTGACTGATTGAATTGATTGATGTTGGACACTAGAGGCATCATCTGTATATTCATGGGTCTACAGACACCAGTCACATATGTCGGTGGAAATGAGGCTCTAGACTGGTTTGAGGGTTCAGGTTACAGTCAGGGTTAGGGGCCAGGGAATGCATTATAACAGTGAGGGTCCTCACAAAGATAGAAGTACAGGGATGTGTGTGTGTGTGTGTGTGTGTGTGTGTGTGTGTGTGTGTGTCTGACCTCTGTCACACAGACGTCTGACCAGGTTTGTGGCGACTCTGAAAAATAAATGATCATAGTTACTGAACTGAATCTGCTCATGTGTTCATGTGTGTGTTCATGTGTGTGTTCATGTGTGTGTGTGTGTTTGTGTGTTCGTGTGTGTGTGTTCATGTGTATGTCCGTGTGTGTGTGTGTTCATGTGTTCATGTGTGTGTTCATGTGTGTGTTCATGTGTGTTCATGTGTTTGTTCATGTGTTCATGTGTGTGTTCATGTGTGTGTTCATGTGTTCATGTGTGTGTTCATGTGTTCGTGTGTGTTCATGTGTGTGTCCGTGTGTGTTCATGTGTTCATGTGTGTGTCCGTGTGTGTGTGTGTGTGTTCATGTGTTCATGTGTGTGTTCATGTGTGCGTGTTCATGTGTTCAAGTGTGTGTTCATGTGTTCGTGTGTGTCCATGTGTGTATGTGTTCATGTGTTCATGTGTGTGTTCATGTGTGCATGTTCATGTGTTCAAGTGTGTGTTCATTAGGGCTGTCAACGAATATTCTAACTTCGAATTTAAATTCAAATTTGAAAAAAAAAATGGACCTTCGAATGTGAAAACTGATAATCGATTGTGGAGGGAGAGGTCCGCGGTCGTTTATAACGTAATGTTATAGATAATTGTTTTATGTGTTTTAATGTGTAGGTATGTAAATGATTTCAAAGACGTTTATGTTGAAATAAAAATACCTACAAGTAGTTACGTTTTCTTCTATTAATACATATATAAGTATGTTTCCTTGTATTAATACATATACAAGTATGTTTCCTTGTATTTGTTTGCCCTCTTGTGGACATAATGCGAAAAAATTTTTTTGAATGGTTCGAACCTATGAGTTATTTTTAGAAGGAATATTCGAACGTCATTTTTGAGCAATTTTGACAGCCCTAGTGGTCATGTGTTCATGTGTGTGTTCATGTGTTCATGTGTGTGTTCATGTGTGTGTCCATGTGTGTGTTCATGTGTGTCCATGTGTGTGTTCATGTGTTCATGTGTGTGTTCATGTGTTTATGTGTGGGTTCATATGTGGGTTCATGTGTTCATGTGTGTGTTCATGTGTATGTTCATGTGTTCATTTGTGTGTTCATTTGTTCGTGTGTGTGTCCATGTTTTCATGTGTGTGTTCATGTGTGGGTTCATGTGTGGGTTCATGTGTTCATGTGTGTGTCCATGTGTTCATGTGTGGGTTCATGTGTTCATGTGTGTGTTCATGTGTGGGTTCATGTGTTCATGTGTGTGTTCATGTGTTCATGTGTGTGTTCATGTGTGTGTCCATGTGTTTATGTGTGTCTGTGTGTTCATGTGTGTGTTCATGTGTGTGTTCATGTGTTCATGTGTGTGTTCATGTGTGTGTCCATGTGTGTGTTCATGTGTGGGTTCATGTGTTCATGTGTGTGTTCATGTGTGTGTCCATGTGTTCATGTGTGTGTTCATGTGTTCATGTGTGTGTCCATGTGTTCATGTGTGTTTTCATGTGTGTGTTCATGTGTTCATGTGTGTGTTCATGTGTGGGTTCATGTGTTCATGTGTGTGTCCATGTGTTCATGTGTGTGTTCATGTGTTCATGTGTGTGTCCATGTGTTCATGTGTGT